CGTTGCTGCCGTTATCCGCGAGATTCGTCCCTTTTATCCGCCTCTTGTTACACGAGCGAATTACCCTGCGCGGTAAGGGGGCATCTTAATGGCGCACGTGTGGACGGCCTTAATAATCGTGGCACGTCCCTGGCGATTCGAGACGGTTCGTATTCCCGTCGCTCTTGATTGCCAATAAAATCCTCCGGAATGGGGCCACGTTTTAGGGCCGAATTATACAGCTTCGACGGAGAATCTAAAATAATGAGCGTTGTCTTCCTAATCGCCGATCAAAGCGCGGCGTGGACGACCAACTGATTCGCGAAATCTTTTTCTGCTGCACAATTTTATGCTACTGTACAGACAAACGTTAATACACAGTAAAAAATCGTGTGCACATAGCGGTCCATATGTTACAATTTTCATGTGTTACCAAGATTTGATTATTATTTTAATGTAAAATTAACATATAACAACTATGTTGTTATTTTCTTAACATATTTATGTATTACATTTATGTCAACGTGGTAACTTAACACTTTATATATGTCATTTAGAAATTAAATATTATTTTGAGTTCTTTTAACACAATTACTTTAAAAAATCAACACGTGTTAAAGTTATTTTAACACATAAACAAAAGTTAAAGTAAATTTTCAAATAATCGTAAACTTTGACGCACAAAATAATTAAATTTACTAAAATTAAATGTTTTTATTACACACAATTCAAGTAAAACCCGTAAAATAATTAATATCATGAGTTAATATAACTTGAAAAGTAAAGTCAAAAGAACAAATATAAATGCAAAGTATAATGTCAATTAATTAACATTTCTAATTTGTCAACAAGTAACACACAATGAATGTGTCATTTTAATTTAAAATTTAGAGTGGAGTCTCTGGGACATGTAAAAAATGTTAAAATTACGTATTATTTTTTACTGTGTAATAGTAATGTGCTACAGCTACGTAATATTGTTGTTCGGTTTTTTTTTTCGTATCAGTGAAGCGAAATTAAAATGCGAGACTTTGTCGTTGCATGGGACGCGGATGTACGACGCGCACGAGCGAGATTAATCTTTTGGTAAAAGTTAATCGTCGTGCGCGATTAGGTCGAGAAAAGAGCGCGGTAGAAACGGATTTATGACGTAAGTAAGCGTTCATTAGCATTATCGCGCGTGCTTTCGCCTCGGTGTAACTCTGATCCGCGGACCGGACCGTGTCCCGGGCTCGATCTCCGTCGACGATTAGTCAAGAAGGACTCGCGGATGCGTGCTGGACCAGTACACGCTTCTACACGCGCGTACATGCTCGTGAATATCCCCGGTGCCCCGTACTCGAGTAACAGCGTATACGCGAGAGAAGGGGGTCGGCGGCGCTGAGAAGAGGGTCCACAGGTTTGCGTCCTATTCGTTAGACCGAGTTTATGTCGAGTTGCTTGTGAATTAAATTATTGCGCTCTCACGCGACCCTACGAAGGATACAAAGGGAGGTTACGGCGCGGGACCCGCGGAAAGTTATGCGCGCACCTAGAGCCCCGAGTAAGCGACCGGCTTTAATGGACAGGTGCATAATTTCATGTAGATTCTTTATTTCCGCCGCGCGCACGGTGGTCTGGCGCGCGGATTCGACTTCCTCTCCGCCAGGAAGAAGAAAGAGAGAGAGAGAGAGCGACAGAGAAAGAGAAAAAGATAGATCTTTGATTTCAAATTAAATTACCGCCAGCCCCGCGGCGATTTGCAAACACACATTCGATGGATGTTTCTCGTTTGCGTGTACGTGCTATACGCTCGGCACGTATATGACTCTGGCGCGGGAATATTCGCGACGATGGTAATTTCAACGTTGCCGAGTCGACGTCGAATGAATTAGAGACGACGACTGAAAATCCCCGGCGTATACCTACTCTTCTCTCCTCACCCCTCGACGGGGCTTTTCTGGCCCCGAGGTGTTAATTACGGGCGTGACCATCCACCGATTAATGCAAGTCTCGTTGCGCGCGGGCGCGCGTTAATTTTTTTCATCGTCGCTTTGCTTTACAATATAGGAAGATGGCATTTTCTCAAAGCGTCCATTATACGCGTGTTCGTAGATTATTAGCGAGCGAGGGCAGAGCGTTATTATTAGCCGGCTATCTGCGCCCGAGCATCTATGCCGCACGAACGTCTTCAGCGGGACCTGTCAATTACACAGATTTATGATCTCTCCTCCTCCCACTCGTTTCGTCTCGCTCCCTCTTGTGTATCGTGGCCCTCCCCGACCTCGTGCGCGCCATCCTCCCGATCCTCCGCGCGCGCGTTCCTGGCGCATTCTCGCGCACTGAACGCACCGAACGGCTCATTAATACGCCGGCTCCGGCCGTGGGTTTCGCGTATATCTGCTTGAAATAGCAAATAATTTTTGATCGATGATCGCCTTTAATTGCGACCGACTTAATTACAGATAAATACCCGTACGTCGATTTATCCCGGCGCGCTTTTGCGTTTCGCGCGCCTATCAATCCCCGGCATCCTGATTAACCCTCGGAGATCCCACGAGATGCCACACGGCACCGTTTCGTAGCGGTGAACTTTGCCCGTATCAATGCTTTTTTACCTTCTCGCACGCACAATAGTACTGTTAGACTCTCGGCTCGCGCCAGGGCAATATTCATTCACCGATTTCCTAACGTTTCTTGCTTCCTGCTCACGTCGCACGATATTTAACCCTTCTCCCATCATTCGGCGAGATATAACCGTGGATTCTTTTTCGCACAGGATGAGGTTGATAAATTTTTTTCTAAGCTCGGCTGTAATTCTGAGAGGATTAATTACGCGTGTCGTGACGAGTTGCGAAGTTAATCAATTAATTAATGTCCTAATAGACATCGCTGTGCATTCATCGCGGCATGATCAACGCGCGCGTTCAACAAACGAGCGTAACGTTACCTACCTGCGGGCGATGGGTAATTAGTGCTTTCCCGTTTCCCATCGATCTCTAGCCCGGATATTAGCCCAGAACAGACAGGAGCTATACGCGAGGTGTAAGGGCACCCGATATTTTTTCGCGTATTCTTCCGATCGGGGGTAATCACAGAGACGGATGAATACAGACGCTGTCGATGCGCCCGCGAATAAAATCGCGACTCGCGCATACTTCTCAGATCTCGGGTGATCGCGGGTCAGCGATCTTCATCTTGCTGGATTAACCCGCACGTAGGGCCCGTCATAGATCGCGCGTCGTACTCACGATCGTAACTGTACTCGGGTTGGCGGCGATACGGCGATTTGCATAAGTACGTTTGCATAAGAGTGGCGTGTACGATGCGAGATTACGGTAATTAACGGAATCGCCGAATCCCGGCGATTAAACGTCTCTAATAAAGCGCGAGCCACTGTGCACCTTCTAATAGAGAAATGAACCCTTTGAGCGCCGATGACGAGAATTCTCGTCATTTTGGACTGTGCGTTCAGTCCCGCGAAAATGCATTTTGTCGTCATGAAATGTCTTGTTACATTAGAGACGCTATGTAATCTTGTTACTGAAATAAAGTGTAACTAGGGTTATTTTGGGTGCATCAAACACGATTTTTGAGTCCGATTTGCAAAATGTTGCTTCAGAAAAAAGATATAGCCGGCTATCAGAAAAATAAAAATTGTTGAATATTTTCGTCATGAGATATTTTGTTGTATTAAGTTTTACAATGTATTAATGACTGAAACAAAGTAAATCAAGAGTTTTTGGGTATGCTAAACATGATTTTGAAGTCATATTTGAAAATAAAGTTTAAACAGTTTTATGACAATTTTTTAAATTTGATTTGATCATCAGCGCCATTGAAAACCCATATAAACTTTCATTAATTTTCGAGAATCTTTTGTTTTTGGTATTTTAGGGCCGCTCGAGGAAAATGATGTGACACTCAAAGGGTTAAGAGCCGCCGTGGGAAGGACATTAATAATTCTTTTTGTGAAAACATCTCTTTTTATCGACTTGCGGGGCAAATTGCTTTGATCGCGGCCGCAAAATAAGTTTTTATACAGAATGAATTCCTTTTGCTCTCGTTTATTCGATCGTTAATCACTTTAGGTTTAACAAAATCTCTCGTGTTAAAGCGTCGGTCGCAGCCGGCCGATGTATGTCGGTTGATTACAATCGCGTTTTTCTCGGCATTGAAACTGATGCTCGAATGCGATAAAGTACGACTGACAACGCGACGGTTCGAGAGGCGTGAAAATAACGATAAATAAAAGTGATGAAATGCTTACATGCGTTTTCGCGATAGTAGGTACCTCTGTGCATAGAAGATCATATGAATCCGTTTCGTATTGATTTATACGTGGAAACTAACGAGCCACTTTTCGACGATAACAGTTCATTAATAATTGAATCGGCCGACGATATTGCACCGCGATGCTCTGTGTTCCGGTAGATCAGTTTAATGAGGCGAACGCGCATTGAGAGAGAGAGAGAGAGAGAGAGAGAGAGAGAGAGAAAGAAAGAAGGGAAAAAAGAGGACGAGTAGCACGGGTGTTGTCGATTTTTATCAACCGATGACAAATCGATAACACTCACGCCATCTTACATTTAGACCGGTTCTGGTGGCGCCGGGCAGACCTTTCTGTACCTTCGTAGTCCGCGCGTCTGCTTTTAATTAATCCCTCGTGCCACGATCGACCCGATGCGAACTTTATAAAAAATGTCGAGGCGCAAAGAGAGACAGAAAGAGAAAGCGCATCTCTGATAGTTGGGTGCCTCTCGCGAGGAAATGTCTGTTAGTTTTCATTTCAATGCAACCCGAGGAAGAGAGAAGGAAAGGGATGGAGGGGGGGACACACAAGCGATTCCCGCGTATCAAGGAATTCGATGATCATCCGTATTTTAATAATCGCGAACCGGTTGGCGGTCAAATTGATATCACTGAAATTATACGAAACTTCGTTAAGTAACCGTTTACTGCGCGTATACTGCGCGCGCGTTGGATTTTATTCGCGTAATTCCGGTATTAACGCGGAAAGCCGCCGGGAGTAAGTTACTAACTTGATTTCTCCATAAACCGCGGGCTTCGCAAGTTGCCAAGTTTGCGAGGATCGTCCAAGTTCGGCGTAGCGAATCCGTCGTTGTCCCAGTATGCAGAGTTGCCCATCGTGATAGGCGCTTAGGAGTAGGTGACCTTAAAGGATGTCGATCTTTCAGTTGGAATAACTGTATCGACGTTCTCGAAGGCGAGGCTGCGTTCGTTAACAGGTGTTAGACGCCTCCGTGTCGCCAGTTATCTTTCCAACTGCACATATATTCAAGCACAAATGTCTCGCTTCGAGAGACAGAGAGACGCGCGCGGATGACGTCGCGTTTTCTTTCCCTTTTAATTAACCATTGCGCCACCTGGTTTTCATCGGATATCTAGCCGCTTCACGGTCGGCTGGACGTCGGCAAATTGTTTATCTTGTCTTTAGGCGATGTTGCATAACGCTGCTATCTTATTGTTGGCTGTCCTAATTGTGGATAGTCTGTCGGAGCCGAGACAAGGTTATCCAAACTGAATAACACTTTTTCAGTATCTTAATTTTAATTGAGCAAACGGGACACGATGATTTTTGTCGCCTGCTAAATTCTAGGCTCTTCAGCCGTATTTTGATTTATCGTACCTACTTCTTGCGTCGCGACTTCACAACTTTTCTTTTTCCGGTCTCTTACGCGGCTCCGTCTACGTACGAGTCCGTCTAACGACGACGCGTCGGCTCGCCGGGCGTAAAAATGCATCCCTCCTTGCGCGCGAGCTTTATGGCGCTCATAGTTATAGTTCCGAGCGAGACCTTGTACGGTGAGTATCTACCTGCGCCGAGTTTTGTGGCCGGTCTTTACGCGGCCGGTCTCTCCGGCACGGTACAGCGAGAGCACAAGAAGCCGGGAGACCACCGTGAAAAAGGAGAAAACTCGGAGGGATGCGCCGGGGGATGACGTACCAACCGTAGTTGACCGTAATCGCGAGTCAACTACGCGCCAGCCAGCCTCTCGCCGCTCGTTTTACGACGCGATTTAATACCAGCGCTCCGCCGCGGCGCACGTCGATCCTGATTAATCGCGATACGTCAAAACGCCGTCAGCTGTTCGAGGACGGTAAAAGCGCCGCGCGTCTCGTATTTTACGTTTCCCGACGTGGCGTATAAACGTTTGCTCAACGCGAACGTCTCGCAAAAACCAAAGTGCCAGCCCCGCAACGCAACAAACTACATTCTGACGTGAACCCTAATTTGCATTCGGGTAATATTTTAATTCAGATCAACACACACAAAACGCGAGAAGTCTCCTACCGTCCGCAATTATCATATTTGTATTGCAGCCTTGACGTAACTACCCTCATATAAGCAGTCACCTGTACATACTCGTGAAACGCGTATCCTCTTTATCAAAAGCTGTTGCGCATCGCGGCGCATTTTGCATAACGAAGAGCGCTCTCGGTGTAGTTTTGTTGTAAGGCCCCGATATACCATTACGCCGCGAGAGAGGCAGGCGTGTTGCAAAGATAAACGGCTTAATATATTTTTTCCGCTCTCGGCCCTGAACTTGGCACGGCCGTTGCATTCCCATAGGCGATGGGCATCCCAGACTAGCATCCGCGTTTATCTGGCATTTACATACGTAGATAAACACGTACGTGGCGCATGAGTGAGGTAGCCAGGGAGCTGATCGGGGCCGTTCCAACTGGAGCCGAGTACCTATACACTCCTCCGGTCTATACGTACCTATGAAGGTTCTTCGCGAACGTAACGAACCCTTCTTGTCGACGTAACCGTCGGTGCATGTAAGAGGAATACCTGGAATGTAACCCGCGATGCAATTCGAATGTATATACATACGGTTGCAACGAGGACGAGATGCGGCTACCTTCTGCCATAACGAGTACATTCTCCGTGAGATATCATCTCCGGCTCCGTAATTAATATCCGCGGTGTAATATTCTATGCTAATAGAAATTTAATTCTTCCGAAATAAGAGCACGTCCGAAGACGGAACGGGATTCACGGCTAACAGCTCGATAATGAAACTCTCGGAAGCGTTCGCCGCAACTTTTATCCGGTACACCGCAGTGCAATTAGCGTTATCTCATCTCGATAATGTGCGAATGCAAATTACCGGAGATCTAATCAAGTGCGTTTCCGCGACGCGCCCACGGCGTGTCTTTTCTGCACGAGTCGTCCATAAAGGAGCCTCGGTATCGAAACTTCAGGTCGCAATCGGCAAGGCGCCCGTGCCCGTCGCGGTCGCGCAACGACGTGGTACTTAGATCGGTTTTTCCAATCACGCCGAAGTCACGCGCGTGTACGCGGAATGACGCGCGATCGCGTAAAACTTGCGCGGTGTCGCGCGCGCGCACTGAATACGCGTTTATCTTTCCGCGTAGCGGGTGGCTGGATCCGCGGAATGTTTCTCACGAAGATGTTATCGTCTCATCGGAACGCGCGCTGAGTGCCCCGTGCCATTAATGTTTCTTGCGCGGTCTTAACAATACGATTAATATAAATCCGACGCGCTTCCTGATGCGCCACTTGTGTTATATTACATATACGTGACGTAAGAGTACGGTCGTTTCGTGCGTTGCGCGCGGAGAATACATTTTTTCACTTGAATGTGGGAAGTTCAAAGTGCCGACCGTAAACCTTCTGATGGATCAAGCAATTAACATCGCCTTGAGATCGGAAAATTTAATTTACACTCTCTTGTCTCTCGTAAAGTCAACATTTACCAATACAGAACTACCCATGAAATTACAATAAACGCGATAGGTTTAGTTAAACCTAAGGCTCGACTTTAAAGGTATCTTTTTTTTGGCCATTAGATTCAAGCGTAAAACGTCCGTTGTATTTTTACGCGTGTTTATGCACGTGCTACGGCCGCTTTAATTCATGCATCGTTTATTGTGTATACTGCGGAATTTGCATACGCGGGCACATACGCGTGTATTTATATTGCCCGTGCGCGCCAATAAAGCCGCGCGGCCCGCGGAGTTTTATAATCCACGTACACCCGACGTCGTGCCACCTGTTTCATATCGTGGGCATAAATAACCGAACGCTAAAATACACCGCACGTGAATGCGCCGCTCGTAAAGATCCTTATGGTTTCCATGAAAATACAATGCATACGTTTAAAATTACTAAATCATTCCCGCAAGTGGACCGGCCGGCCGCGCAGCCATATCGTGCATGCGCGTGTAAAGACATTTCTTTTTCAAATTTACGCGTTATTTCGTATGCCGCCCATACCGGTCTACAGCGACGCGCCAGAGAGTTCGACACATCTGAAAGTCTCCACGTCAGTTGTCTTCATTGATAGTCGCGACGCGCGACATTTGCCGGGAGTGCACATTGCGAAGCGTCGAGACGCGCGTGAAAACAACCGCGGCTACTCGCTCAAACTTGACCCGCTAATGAATAATAAGAAACGGCCGGTAGCGTCGTTACATACCGTTGAGCGCGGAATGGTAAAGGCTTAAAGTGAATGGCTGAAACTTAAAGCGATGCGCACGCCGGTTTAAACTCTAAATGACTAAGCAGCCGGTGCGTACGGCGCTTTGAAGGATCGCCGTACATTCCAGCCTGCGCCACTTTTTTGCCGACTTTAATGCCTCCACTTAGATCACTGAAAAGTATAGGTATTTCCGGCGCCTTAGAACATGACTACACGTTCTATTATTTCGGTGCCGGCGGCACCTTGGAAGATTAGCGATTTCTAAACGACCTAATCGAAACCAAAATAACGCAACAACGTCGATTGCAAATGTAAATTGTTTCGTGGCACATGTATATACAGAAAAAAAAAAGAATATTCTTGATTTGGAAATATCTTTAGTTTCAACGTGGAAATCTTGAAATGAAATTATATTGCGTTAAACTTGCTTGAAAAGAACTTGCTTGAAGAATACTTGCTTGAATGAAGTCATTATATAGTGCAATCAAGAAAAAATGTTGAAATAAAAAGTTGACATTCTTATAAGAAGATATACATAGATTGTTTCGTATATAAGCAAGATCACTATAATCTTCTTATAAAATTTTCACTTTCTATTTTATATAACGTTTTTTTTTTTATTACACTATATAATGACTTCACACATGCAAGTTTTCTTTAAGCAAGTTTAACGCAATATAATCTCATTTCAACATTTTCATTGTTGAAACTACAGATAAGTATTATCAAATCAAGAATATTCTTTTTCTCTGTGTATAGTTATGACTGAAAACATCTTTGGCTTATAGCGTATCCGAGAAATTTAAGAAAGTGCAAGATGATAAAAACAAGTGCAAGATAATTAAAAAAAGAGCAAGATAATAAAAACGGTAGCGATAATTTTATGACGAAAATTATATTATTTCGCGAACGGAATATTGTGTACAGGGATAAAATACGGACGAAAAAAAATCGTAAAATCTTTTAAGACTCGACTAACTGTATCTAGAGTTTTAGCGGAATAGCTAGTAGAAGCGATATCTCATCTCGTAAATTTTGCGCGCCACGTATTTTCCGACAGTTTAGTAATCGCCGAGATGAGTGGAAGCGATCATTAAATCGGAATGACGGCGATACGCGCGAAACGGAAAAAAGTATTGACGCGTTACGTGACTGTGAAATATCGTTATTTCTTAATTGAGTATAAAAGTGCAGTGCACCTGTAAATTCAATTTGCAGTTTGCTTTCGCGCCGTCATTCATTACGTTGAAAATGGAAATGCCACTTTTTGAGTGACGGTACGTATGGGATATCTTTATCAGATTCGCGAGTGTAAAAAATTGCGCGCGATAAACGATTCAGTATCTGTAGAAAGCAAACATAAAACTGCCAGCATCGTTATTTCAAAATAGAAGGAAGACGATAGAGGAAACTTAGGCTGACGATTACATTTACATGTAATGACACAGTATCGGAAGCAATAACTTCTTTTAATACGTTGAATGCAGATCAAGTATAATAGTTAAAAAATTATAATAGTTAATAAATTTTAATAATTGCTTATATACGTTGGTTACGTGTGAGAGAACAAAGTCAATTAAAGCTGCAGTAACTTTAATTGATTCAATTTATTAAATTGGATTTAGTTGAATTGAATTCGCGATTTCTGTGTGTGAAATTGATAGTACGAACACCGTACAACATCGATGAAGAGAGAACGATCATGAAACCGACATTAGTAAATTAAGTAGAAATTGAAGTGTTATTTCAGCTTGTCAGAGCTAAAATAACACGCTCCGTAAATTTCGAAGGAAACTAATAATCTAAGTCGATTCACAATTTTGCACTTAGGAAGATACATTACAGCTGTTATACATTTGACAGCAACGAGATGCAATCGAGCGCAGTCTTGCACTTCGCGTTTCCTCTGCTATATTCTTTTATTATATTTTATTTTAATTGTACAGCATCATGGCACGATATAATTGTCGATTCTGCTCACTCACGTTACCTTCCTACGACTCGACATCCATCTTAAGTTTATTAATATGCTAACATTGATAGATTTGTGTCCGCTGACGTGAAATTATGCAGTCTCATCCTAGCCAACAAAAAAGTTTTTTGCATTTCCGATGATGTCAGTCTATACCAACCAGAGAGTATATTAATAGCCGTGTCGGTGACCAGCACGGTGAACTTTAATTCAGTAGCTCCACGCCGGTTATCGGACTGGTGCTAATCGGCGCTATCAAATTATAAAAACGCATAAAAATTTTTTACAATTCTGTAAGTATAATTTGAAGTAATAACGTAAGGTAATAAACATAAGGTAATAAAAATATCAGAATTTTACATAAATTAGTTATATAATATTTTATCGAGATGTAAATATAATAGTCAAAATTTCATTCCATTGTCGCTAAAAAATCAATTAGGTCCGGCATTCAATATGTTAATAATGGATAAAGAGTGCCTCGTAAATTTTTGATACGGTTGATAAATAATTTTTATTGAATACATGTCTTATAATACACGTGTCAGATAATTCCTATTTCTACGTATTTTATACATTTTGACCGATTATACGTTTTGATTTTCTTACGCTTTGCATAATTCATGCCGCTCGCATTCGCCATTCACTTCACAACCGACGTCTAAATATTTCACATTCTCCACGAAGTCGCTGTCAAGCATATAATAATTAATAGCGAACGAATCCCTGTAATCGCGACGCGGTATTTCTGCGACTTGTCATGTCAGTCGTTAACAGTTAGCTCTTCGACATATTCCTCCCCCTCTTCGCGAACGTGTCAAACATCTGTATAACACTTTGTATACTCACGCGCGACCACAATGTAGGTTTAAGGTATGAGTGCTCATTAGTATGAGACTACTGCCGTGTTCGCACCGCGAAAGATAAAGCAAAGTTGAAACGCGGGGACAAAGAAGTGGAATGCTAGCTACGTGTCACAAGATAAAAATTAGAATACTCGCTCATGGGAAAGAGCCGAGCGACGTGAATTTCGCGCACGAACTGCCGAGAATTTCTGCGGAGCTTGAGGTGCAGGAACACGACATGTAACAGGTTCCACATTTTAATTACGTTCAGATTTCGGAATGGAATTTTACATTAGGTAGCAAATAATGTACCCAGATTATTGTACATGGTTCAGAATTTTATGACTACAAAAAGTTGGAGCAATATTTTACAAATATTTTATTTTTGAGAAAATTTTACAACGAACTGAATACACACATAGTAGGGTCTAAAAGTTTCTGGTTTAAGGATATAAAATAGGTGTTAAAATAAAAAACAACCACTTTTATTTTTTAATATAATTATCTCCTTCATATTTCAATACATTTTTTAAAATGAATTAATTTTTCTATACCACTAAAAACATTTTAAATTGTTCTTAAATTAATTTGTCACTTTTTTATCACCCGCCCTACAAGCCCGACTTAATAATTATTTTTTATTTTCAAAATTGATGTCTGAGTTGCGTAAAAAAAATTTACTAGTGATAACCAAGTGATCTCTACAGTGTTGAATTATTTTAAGAACAAAAATGTAGAATATTTTTTTATTGATATACTTAAGAAAATTAATTCACACACGTCGTTCTATAAAAATATATTAAAATAAATATTATATTGACTAAATATTAATAAAATAAATATTACATTGAAAAAGAAAACCGAAAAAATGGTTGTTTTATTTTATCATCTTTTTTTTGTATTTTAGGTCAACAACTTTTGGCCGTCAGATATTTGCTGTCAAAAATATTCAGTTACAATTGCGAGATTGAATGTAAATTACCAGTTTTATCGCGCGTTACGTCCAACGACTCCGAGCCAAACTACAAATTTTCATTATTATCTGTGTAGCAGGGAAGTCGTTATTATACCGCGAACGTGGGCGGTTTTTGTCTCCGCATAATTTAACGCTTATTATTTAACTACCGTATTTAAAAAGCGTCTTCTCGCGCGTCATTACGGTAATGATGGCGAATTTTAACCTTTGCTCTCGACAAAATTGGTGGAAGCCGGTGTTCCTTGAAACTTGAAAACAACATCCGAACTCGAGCTACGTGACCCTTAATGGACCCGTAGCCGCGGGATGTCAGGATACTCTACGGTATATTTTTGACGTTTCCGCATAGCTCGCGTCTTAACATCGACAGGATAATGCGTCGTACTCATCCTGTGCAAATTCTACGCGAGTGTCTATTACATTTACTTATCTATATGTATTTCATGTCACGCAAGATTAAAGTAATTCGTTTTTTTTTTTTAATTTCTAAATATATATTAGGTGCGAAAGAACAACACTTACAGCATCAAGTTTATTTTATTCGTTGTGTTGGTCATCCTTGCTTTGAAAATTTTCGCCTTTAAGCGAAAATCTTAAAAGCGATTCGTATCTAAAAAGAGGGCATTTACATCAGATATATTTTCATTAAATATCGGAAGAATTTCCCGTAGGGAAAAGACTCTGGAGGGAATTCGAATTCTGCGCGATCGTTGCAGTCCAGTCGTCGTAAAGGAAAGATGAGGAGCGAGGAATATCGTGTAAAGGGAGTCACGGAACCGTTGCGGCACGCAGCTGCCGGAATGCTTTACGAGATTTGCGGAATCTCGAGATTGCCGAGGAAAAGAACGCACCGCGTTCTGAACTTGCGTCGTGCGAGATAACTGTATACGCCTCCGAAACTCCGGATAAATATGGGCCAGTATGGTTGCCAACACTGAGGAACGTGATTTTGCGGTACATTTTCCGGAGTCTCCACACCTACGCCGCCGCCTTTAACTTTTGTCGTTATTCACACGTCTTAGGACCGGTTGACTTAACCGTACTCCGAGTGCTCCTTCCGCCTCGCCTTCTAGATCATAATGACAGTTTTCAAATGGGTAGCGATGGGTTTAATTAACCTTGATTAGCGCTGGTAGATGTTGGCGATGCTGCGACTGTTAATATCTCAGTGTTTTAACACTTATGGCACGCTGCATTCTGTTATCGTTATAAATCGTGGCCAAGACTTCATTCGTCTTTCGTAATGTTAGCTATAAACTTTAACATTGCACAATTACACGCAGGGATGAGGGAAGTCATTTTAGCCATCGTATACTACTTGAAAATTTAAATAAGCATCTGAAACTCGCGCAGAGACAATGCAGATAAATGAGTTAAAAGGAGCTTCATTTTCTCATCATGTTATTTCCGGAAAGTCAAATAAAGATTATTAATATTATTAGAAAATAAAAATTGTATTTTGCGCAATTATTATCTTTCTTTTGTGAGAGATAGTTTTTGTTTTATTAAGATTCTTGATTTATTCTTAAAGGCACATAATTTCAATCCTCTCAAGATGAAAAAATTTGACATAACACGTCAAGGGAGTCCTGCAAAGCCGACAACTCAGTCTGAGAGAAGGAAAAAGAGGAAGTCTAGCAGAGGTATCAGACGCCGGTGGAATAACGCTTTGGGGTGAGTAATAGTTAATTTAAATACATTATTCTCTACGGAAGAATACCATTATTTTCTTTTGAATCGTTTACTCAGAAAATAAGAATATTTGTAAAATCCTGTGAAAGCTTACACTTAATGAAAGAAGTTTTCTTGAAAATTATTACTTAATCTAGTTAATTTGTTATTATCTATTTAAATATAGAATTGCGATCAATAATTATCTTTCCAAATATTCGTTGTTTTTTATGCCCTGCTTTAATGCGGATCTTGTATTTGTGTATGTTACAGTATCAACGTATAGTCGATGTGTTGCAGATAACTTTACTACTCGTTGCTCATCAGTCGGTGAGTGAAAAACAAACTTTTTTCTTGAGGTAATGGATCTATGATTAATATGCCAAATATATGTAGCAGATGTATTTACACACGTATACATATCGAACTACGACAATAAATTATTACATGAATATTACATCTCATAGATCCGTTATTTTTTAATATGGATAAATTAAAACGATAAAAATATGGATTTTAGCTTCTCTCAGTTCGCGTGTAGCAATTCTTATCGATTTAAATTTAAAGGTTATTAAGTTTCAGTTATATTTAAAGGCTAAAGCTTCTATTTACGCTGTTAAGGGTGTTCTGGCAGCTACGTAGCATTTGTTTTTGCAGCATACACAACTTGCACAACTTTATAATTGTGTTTACTGTCAGCATGCTAACTTCATTAAATCGATCGATGATTAATCAGTTTATTTCGCGTTCTTCACTCACATCAACCAACATCGACAACATCGTCATTGAGTTACTGAGCTAGCGAGAGTGGGTCGATTATCGGATTCTTCAACGTCGATCTCGTCGCACAACTTTACGCCACCCATAATGATACATCATAAAATAAGCAATTGCAGATCGATCAATATTTTTGTTGCTCCGTTGAAGGTTTCTTTCGTTTAAAATGGACTATCTATAAAATAGTTTATACGTCATGCACCATGATTTATGTGCACGTATACCGTATATTAAGATTGCAACCATAACAAAATTCCACAAGTCACTTGAGATACTTATTTAAATATATCTCGTATGTATGTATATACATACATGTGTGTGCGTGTGCGCGAGTATAATTATATTATATAAATAACATATTAAATATATGTATATAAATAGACAGATAGAAATTCTGTTTGCCTCGGTTAATAGAGCTTCAATTCGCCAATGCTATTAAATTCACTGCAAATCCAAGTGTTCCAAAATGTGTAATTTTTACACACTTGGCTTTGTAAATGTATAATTTTTACACACTTGGCTTTGCAAATGTGTAAAAATCTTAACACTGCAAGTGTGTAAAAATTACACATTTTTCAAAAAAATAACACGCGTACAAATGTGTAAAAAGTGACTACACGATTTACACACTTAAATGTATAAAAATAGCACACTTGAATTTGCAGTGTTGAGATTGCATATTTTGACTTTGCACATGCATATAATATGTTAAATAAAAAATATCCAATACATTCTGTGGAGTATTACCGCTCACACTATATGTTTTAATTTATCATACTTTACTTTATCTTTTATTGTCTCGTACCACTCGTATTATGGTACACTGTCTGTAGACAATTAACACAATCTTATATCGTGTCTATTGCCGTTTTAGTAAGATTATTAACGCGAGATCCGCTAAATTTCACATTATGGCATAATCGTTTTATTCTCTAAAGATATATCTCGCGATTATAGCTCGACTTAACGAAACTGCCATTTGCATCAAAGCAATTCGTAATTAACGTTATGGAATAAGCACGAGGTGGACGGACGCCGCGCCTCGTGCTGCTAAAAGATCGTCGCCACGCTAACGCGCGCTCGGCGGGGAGTAATCATCGCCATAATCCGAGCCGGTCCGCAAACATTACGGCATTTTCAGTGCGCGCCGGAGTGTCTCGTAAAATAAAACCGTGAGTCGCCGCGGGTTTACGATCCGCAGCACTTTAACGGGGCGGACAATCTCCGGGATAAGGTGTCGCAATTTGACGATGAGCAATTATTTCGGAATCGCCAGACATTTTTCGTCGCGCCTACGTTCCTCGCCGGCCGTGCCGCGCCGCGCCGCGCACGAGTAAAATACCGCCGGGATCATCAAAGTGACAATTACTTCCAAATATAAATCTCACGTAACTTTATCGCCCGCGCTGGGACACATGCCGCTTGTAATTTAGGTGATAGATATTATTATTATCGAGTTTTTGAAAATCCGTTAAAGTATTAAGTGATAAATTAGAATATTAAAACAAAAATTGAGAAAATTAAAATGGTTTTAATTTTCAAGAATTAATGTAAATTTCTTTGAAATACTTTATGCGTATAACATGTGAAAGATTCAATGATCATTGCCTTGATATAAATGAAGGCCCAATGTCGAAGGGGTTAAAAGATTACTATTATTTTCGTATTGCTGATCGTTTTTATGATCGTTCGCGCATAGAGTCACGTTGCAAAATGCCGTCGATGCTAATAAGGTATGTGCATACATGAACTAAGACTCCATATGTTTTGTGGCGCCTTATGAAGCGCGGCGAAATGTCTAGCTGAACGACTATACGATGCTCGCGTACGTTAAACGTCATAATTAGTTGCAAGTAGGCAGGTACGACAGGGAAGAAACGTGCCTGCGTATATTACGTCAACGCGGCAATGGCTAACGGTAATAATCTGGAAGGTTACAACGACGACCATGGGCGCCAAGTCAAGTTCAAGATCCCAAGGTTTCGCTCGCGCGGAGGAACGGGAAGTTGATCGCGAGTCTCGAGCGTAGGCAGAATGACCAAAATAAACCCGGCCAGTGTCGAAACGACACGCGTTGTATAATCGGTTATTTCGAGATTCGAGAGATTGACTCGCGGTTCATCGGTTACGGATCCACTCATAAAAAAAAGGTTTATGGATGTATTTTGCTGAAAAAAGTCGATCTTATCTTATGACATATGAACTGACTAGCTTAAACTACCCGGCATTGCCCGAACTTCTTATATCTATAAGAATATCTGCAGCTTTTTTTATTACAATATAATATTTTAAAATTAACTGGCACCTTCAATGTGACACAATGCTTATTTACATATACTTCATTACGCAATGCTTACTTGTATAATAATGCACTAAACTTAAATTGTCACACAGTGTCAAGGAGATGAAATCAGGGGGAGGGGATTGCTGTCCAGATTTCATGGTACAGTCTATATTTACCGCAAGAGTCTAAAGAGTAAATATGTAAAATTTGGTCTAGATTGATAAAGGGTTTAGGAGTTTATAAGGAACATACAGACAGACAGACATTTTATTTTAAATATATATAGATAGTGGGGAATTTATCGCACACATAAAGATATTAAAGTAATTATGTAAAGTATCTAATATCAAAGTAAAATATATGTGCGCGCGATTTTCCAGGGATCAACGACCGAGCGAGGAACTCGCGCGTTTTGCAATGGTGACATAAGCGTATTTGTATGCGAGTCGAGTAGTAGTCCACGCTGTGAATGTCGCTAAACGCTGTTATGTAGTGTGAATCATGCGTCTACTCTTACACATACGCTCTGTCACGATCAAATATTTAGATATTCAGGCCACCCACATTCTAAGTAAGCCGCTAACTGTTCAATCACATTTTTTATATGCTTATTGCTACCGTAAAATTAAAAAAAAATGTCTACCTTTCATTTCCGGAATGCAAATGGACATCGTAAAGATATCTTCTTTTAATCATACATTTTTATTCATTTAAATAACGGAAGTTTTTAAATTATTAACTCTTTCGTTTCCATATGACTATGGTATTATGGACCATGAAATAAAACATTATTGTGGCCTATATTTTCATATATCTGTAAATATAGTATATGTATAACAGTTCCTCATAGTCACACTGAAAAAAATCTAGTTTGTTCATTTTCCACCAGTCGTCCAATTAATTCAACCAGATGTTTCTTTCAGTGCATGAGAAAAAAATGTTCTGGATGTTAGTAAATATTAGTTTGCATACAACTGTGACTCTATTTACTAAAATAAAGAAAATTTTCCTTTTTATTAGTATAAGTGTATTCACTAGGAAAAATATTTAGGATAGACCGGGGCACGTTGTCACGCGGGGCACGTTGTCACTTTGGCTTTATTTAAAAGACTAATAACCGAAGGGCAGCACCCGTCATTCCCAAAACGTGTTAGTGTATGCCCATCTTTGGTGTGTTTACAGTCTTGAGATTGCGCCAGCCGTGTTGACGTAAAATCAACTTGAAAGTTTTTTGCGACCGTAAGTAAAATTTTATTGTCTAATATTCAACGTACTGGACATGAAGCTTATGTTTTTTCAGAATAGACCTTTATATTATCTTAAAGTATGTACTTTTACCTACCGCGTGCAGTACCTAACCTTACGAATATCTCAAACGTGTCGGACATGAGGCTGTTTGAAATAAAAAATGCCCTTGGGGCACGTTGTCACGAATTTGATGGGAATCTATTGCGAATCTTCGGATGACGATAACGAATAAAAATATTTTATGTTTAATCACCGACATGATTATAAAAGAAAAAATGTTTATCAATAAGTTACGCATCCGAGTGGAATTCTTGCCTATTTAGATTAAGACGAAAACTTCGTGCTTTTTGTACTTTTTTGAAATAAAATAAATGTTTCTGTGAAGGATTTTACTTTTTTACATTGCAGCGCACTATAATATATTGATATTTACGTTGTATACAGTTTGGATTACATTTTGCATGCAATTACATTTGATGTGACAACGTGCCCCGGTCACGGGGCACGTTGTCACAAGCGACCTGTCGTTATTTATTGTTATGTAACAACTGTAGAGTAACAATCACACAAAATTCGATACTGTCCAATTGAAGCTGAGGGTTCACTCGAAATTTTGGCATATCAAAGTACTCTTAAATATTGAATGTAAAAAATACAAAAAATATTGAAAAAAATGTGTGACAACGTGCCCCGGTCTACCCTACTAATAAAAAGGAAAATTTTCTTTATTTTAATAAATAAAGTCACAGTTGTATGCAAACTAATATTTACTAAAATCCAGAACATTTTTTTCTCAGTTTATATATAAATGGCTGTAAAGACTTTACGCTTGTAAAGCTAAATCGTACGCATCTTAATATATATTAAAAAATTTTTTGGTAACATGAGGCAACGTCGTTTTTTATTTAGCGTCGTTTGGTAATAATAGTTATTATAAATACAATAAAAATTTGCAGAATTATAACTTCTTTGACATATTTTAACTAAATTTATCAAAAGTAAAAAAAGATTTTTTATTATGCATAATAATTTTCCGGTGCAAATTATTATACGCACAATTACAATAAAAATAACACATAGAAAAGTTCTTACACATTTCTAAAATATCAAAATGTTTTTATAAATCGCTTATTTATTATGTAACATGCATAAAAATACAAACATGTATTTTTCGTAGCTGTTAAATAATTTGAAAATAAAAGGATTAAAATATATAAGAATTATGTTTGCATGCATGCAACAATGCATTCGTCGCTAGAAAAATTAGTCGCGAACACCGGCGACAATTTCCGGTTGAAAATTTGATACCTAATACGTACCGATAATCTTTGTCAGATTATCGGCTATTCCGCGGTACGATAATCTAAGTAAATCACAGAGGCCTGAGGAGCATTTCCCCATTTCCTTCCCCGTTTGCGCGCAAAGGATGGTAGCCAGGGACGCGAAACAAAAAGTCGCGCACTATCGGTTTCGAGGTATCGAGAGAAAAGACGACGACGCGGACGCGGCCGTTCGCTAGTGCAACGTCCTAGCTAACCATGGTGTTTGAAGTGCACGCTTGATAATGACAGGATTTGCCGGTACGATAACTGGAAGAAGGAAGGAATTATAGGCTATGGGCATCTCGTAAATATAAGCCGTATAGCTAAAGCTACACTTTAACGTCGTCGCTTCTTCCTGGGAACTTCGTGATTTTCGCTTACGCGCGTATTTGTTGAGAGGCAAATCGGCCCACTCGAGAGAGACTCGACGATTGTTTTCCGGAAGATGATACGCGATAAATTCGTGTTTCTATTTGTCTTTTATTCTATCGCGAATCGATTGACATCAAGCTTCCTAGACGTGACAATCTTTGAATATTATCTTGAATAAATTATAGCCTTTAGAAAATATTATTACTTCATAAATTTATTTTGCAAATTAAAACATATAATACAGTTCTCTTTGTAGAAAGTAAGTAAACAGATATTTTCATTCAAGCAGAACAGAGTCGTAGAACAGAAATCTCTTCCTCTATTTTTTTATTTGATTGTGCTTTATTTATTGTGAATAAAAATTCAAATATATATTATGCAGCTAATGTATAATATATTTATCACTTCAATAATATTGGAAAGGATATACCAAGGCGTATAAATTCTGTTAGGGATATTCTGATCATCGTCGCGTTGACGTTAATACAGCGGAAAAATTAAAAACGATATCCTAGCTCACTTCTTGTAAACCCGCAATGCATTATGTATGTAATGTAGCGTAACTTGTAAGACGATTTTTCAACACACGGAGGATGTAATTTTACGGTTGACTATCATCGCCTTTTGTAGCGGAAGAATTAAAAGCGATATTCCGCGTTACGATATTGTAGCACACCTGACCTTACATCAATTCTGCATTAAATTTCTTCCTGCATGAAATCCAGCCACACGTTTATATCGTTTTATTTTTGCATCGTTTTACAAAGCGTTTTTATTTCTTTGAATATAGTCGTGAAATTTAAAGCTCACGATCAACCGAAATAGAGAAAGACGTCAATCATGCTGTGTGCTTTTGTTTTGTTTTTTTTTTACATAGGTCGCAGTTATTGTGTTAAGTAAGTCGCGTGAAGAGAAGCGTGAATGGAATTTATTTACAGGGATTCGATCAGGCGCACGCAGTGACAAATCTGTTTCATTTTTTGCAGACTGTCAGCCGTTTTCGCGTGATCGTTGTACTATTATATTATCTCGAGAAGAATCCTAATAATCGCTGGTCCCACAGGGATGACTGATTCATACAGTCATTTAGCAAATCCACAAACTCAGCTCATTGTACTACGGACTCGACTACGGATACTCACATGCATTTTCACATCACACACATACACATATATATATATACAGGGTGTCCGAAAAATCGCCTACTCCACTTCGGGAGGTGATTCAGGACCCAAAAACAAGCAAAAAAGTTCATACAAACATAGATCCGGAAATAAGCCGTTTCCGAGTTATAGCCACTTTTATGTTCAAAAATCGCAATTTAGAATCCGCTTGGCATCCCTCTTTCTTAATTATTTCTTAAATTAAAAATTTTTATTTTTAAATATTTTTAATTTTTTTATTTTTTTTTTCAATTTTTCAATATTTGTAAATACGATTACATTATTTTTAAAAGAAATCAGTTGTTTTCACGGCTACTTGAAATCAGTTGTTTTCACGGCTATTCAAAATTAGTTGTTTTCACGGCTACTTGAAATCAGTTGTTTTCACGCCTATTCAAAATCAGTAAGTAAATCACGGCTTTTCAATAAGTTTCAAATTATTATTTAACAACACCTTACTTTTAGGTTGTATCTAATCTTTCTGTATTCATCAATGGATCGTTTAAGTTTTAATGAATTAGCTGATATTTAAAAATAAAAATTTTTAATTTAAGAAATAATTAAGAAAGAGGGATGTCAAGCGGATTCTAAATTACGATTTTTGAACATAAAAGTGCTTATAACTCGGAAACGGCTCATTTCCGGACCTATGTTTGTATGAACTTTTTTGCTTGTTTTTGGGTCCCGAATCACCTCCCGAAGTGGAGTAAGCGATTTTTCGGACACCCTGTATATACCAAAAAATTTATATGCTTTCGTGCATATATAACGTAAAGAATAGTTAAGGAAAAATGGAGGCAAAAGAGATAATTTAAATTAGGGAAAAGAGGAATAAGAATAGATCGAAGCCTGGATATATATTATATTAAGAAACTTTATTAACTTGGAAACGCTGCAGGCTTAAAAAAAGACAACATCCGCGAGAGCGACTACGCCTGCACGGGTGAGATTCCTACTCCGAGTGCCATACGGTTTATCAAGATTCCAACACGTTTCCAAGCAGCGGGATTACCTTTCAGCGAGTCGCTTAAGGAGCCGTTGGCGAACTTTGCAATCGTGGGCGGGTGATTTATATCGCAGGTGTGTATGAATAAAATAAATTTGCGGCGCGCCGCGGGGTTAATACGATTTTCGACGCGAGTAAAGTTTCAAACCCGAGTAAATTCCATCCGTCGTCGCGCGACATCGAAATAAGAACGCGCGAACGCTCGGTTTTGCCAACATAAATTCGTAATATGCTCCGTGTGCGAAATTTGCGACATAATTTCGAGAGATAGGTGTCCTCCTTAGCCGTCGCTATAATTTCCGCTTCCCTGTGCCTCACAATGGAAAACTCGAGACGAATTAATTAATGTGTTATTAATCATTAAATTTGCAGCCATTATTTGCGCCCCGCGCATACCGCGCGCACATTCACGCTTTCCAATTGAAAAGATTACAGTACAGCACTCCGAGATCGCACGTCGTAATGATTGAAATCATTAGAAGCATGGCACGATCACGCGCGTTCGTCTTACCCGGTGGTTAATTCGACGGCACGCTGCGATAAATCCTACAAATCGTTACAACGGTAACGGCCGGGTAAAAAAATCGACGCCGTCGTAATGATCGTTCGTATATATGTATACCCGAAAGCAAACGAGCACTTACTCAGCCGAGGCGAGGAAATCTAACGTTAATTCCTCGTGATCGAGCCCCCCTTCCTCCCCCCTCGCTTAATCGCGTTTGAACTTCCCTGGGTCCTTGACCATTCTCAACGGTACATTACAAGGTCACACGATGCGAATTTATCCGATCGTCCGCAGCTGGTTAACCAGTCGGCAAACATGTGTATGCATCTTTCCGGTAAAGAGCACCGTGTGATTTGTAACACTTGAGATACATGTATATCTCTTATCAGACGATATATCGCGCGGTCTTGCGTAAACCTTAAAATAAATACGCGTGCAACGTCGCATTTCTTAATCCTTTCTAATGGAGAGACGCATATGGATAAATTAATTATTTTATGTTCTCACGGCTCTCCTCACGACGGTATCTCGGAAAGTCGGTCCCTCGGAAATGAAATCTCCTCGGATGCCGAAGACGCGCGCGCGCGCCAGGCCTACCGAAGTCCGCGGATGCTGTTTGAGAGACACGCGAGAAAGAGAGAAAGAGCGGCGGTGGACCGGTACACCTATCCCCGCCGTGGCGTGGTACCAGATGACTCTATAACACGCGAAGGCAATGTACCATTTAATAGCGCATACACGATCCTCGGCTTATTCCTCTCGCGTGCCACTCGCGCCTTCTTGCGCCGCTGCCGCCGCCGGCCGGCCGGCCGGCCGGCCGGCGCCGCTGATTACTCTATCGGCCAATATCGATTTCGCCGCGGTAGCTTTTTGCACCGTACACACCGGGAAATGTGCGATCCGTCTGCAAATGAGCCGCGCCGCTCGTAGGGCGCCGCGGCTGAATATCGAGCCGTGTCTCGTCTCGAGGGATTCGAGAATTACGATTTAATTGCGCGCCCCGATCGTTCGTCCCTTGGTTCGTCCTTTACGTGCCTTCCTACCCGTTTTTTTTTTTTAATTTTCCTCGGGTCGTTCTCAGAGACGCGAAAGGTGAGTTCACCGGAAAACGTCGATTGACGTACGCGGCTCCACAGTAATACGCCGTAAACGTGTGTATGGCAAGATATAGGGAAGTTCCGTCGGTTCATTAAAGGAGCGATTATGCGATCCGCTTTTTCATCGGTCCGCGGTTGCACAATTTAAGGATGTTACGCAAACACGTACGCTTTTTCCCATGTTCCGCTATAGATTCTCATTTTATTATGCTCGACGGCGAAACTGTAAAATCCTAGGAATACGCGCGCACGTTTTTTTCTTTTATTCGCGATCGAGGCGAATGCCGAGAGGTATACCGGCACCGCTATTTCTGCAACGTGCGCGCGTAGCAGATGGCGCGAATCCTCGGCGGCGGTATGCAACGCGAGCATGTAAATAATTCGAGTTTACAATGTCACGTATCCGCCTTGAAGCCTTGAACGGTGCATTTCAGGGCGGCGGCCTCTCTCTCGCGTGTTATCGTGAATTCTATTGACAATAAACGCCGCGCACGCGCCCGCGCGGTTACACAATACGCGCCCACGTAACTGTACAGCGCGGCAGTAGCGGAGCGGACAATGGCGCTACGTAGGAAAGATATTCATAATCCGCGAATACTACTCGCGTTTCCCGCGGCCGAATGCCGTGAATAAATCATCCGGACTCGCGTTTTTTTTTCTTCGCGCCGTTCACGTGAGAATTCGCCCGCGATATTTTTACGATCTTTACGAAAATTGTGATAATAATGATGCCTCCTAATTATCAGGTATCTCATCTCGCCTTTCTCATTGTGCGATCGTTAATAATTCCTTAGCAATTTAAATGCAACATTCGACTAATTGCGGAAGGTGCTGTTATTACCATCCTTACATATACCTATACTTGAATCGGGGGAATCTTTAGCATTAAATATGCGAGTATAGTCGTATAATAGTTAAGGTTAAAAATTATAATCAGTCGTCCGGAGGTGCGACAGAGCGTAGACGTTGTCGCGTTAAAAAGATATATCGCGAAGAAATTATATTTAAATAAGGAACAATAGCGGCGTTGTATTCGTTTAATTCGTTTAATGGTCCGCGTGAGATACAATAATGCAATTTATTACAGCATTACATCGCTGGTTTACACGCCTCGGGAATTAATTCGAGCTCACGAGGCAATAAAACGAACGACACGACTCTCGCAAACCGTAACGAGACAATGACGCGATAGTACCGCGTATTTCTATGTGCAAACTTAATCGCGCAACGGTAAAGGATCCGCACGAGCAAAACGTCTCCGAGATTCTTCCTTTCTCTCCCGTTATTGTTTTATTATCGCATTGTTTCGGCCGAGTTTTACCGACTTCGCCGACTTAGGGCCCGGGCACATAAAAAGTAGTAAGACTTAAGCAGTAAAGCATCGTCTACAATACACGGAGTAAGCGTGGAGCAAGGAGTAAGAGTAGGCGTAAGAGGGCTATTTTCAGTTTAAGAGAGCTGGCGTAAGGGCGTAAGCGAAATAAATTAATTTTATTTCTTACTCCTACTCTTACTCTTATACTTATGCTCGGCCAATCACGACGCAACAGGCTATAATGCTTACACCTGCCTATACTCTTACTCTTTACTCCACGCTTATACTCCGTATAGGTATTGTAGACGACGCTTAAGACTTAAACAGTAAGACTTAAGCAGTAAGCAAATCAGCCAATCATAGTCAAGAACTTAGGACATAACGTAAGCAGTCGCGAATCAGTAGTGTTGATTTTCTTACTGCTTAAGTTTTTCTATGTGCTCGGGCCTTTACGCGCTCTCCACTAATTTCGTCCACGCAAGATTGGTTTAATGATATTTTAATGGCGGAATATATATAGAAAATCGACTTCGCGAAAACTAGTCTTCTTTTTTCTTTCTGCCGATGTATTATCCGCCATTTATAAAAATCACGGCCCTTGTTTGCAGATCGCAAACGCTCGCGGTTGCACGCAGTTATACCTGCGTGACTCACGAGTTAATACGCGTAACCGGCGCGCGTTTTTTTTTTTCCAGTGCGTACGAGCTGCGTCACATCCTATTGTAACGCTATCCACGATTGAATGAAGTATGAGCGACACGCAACTGCAATATGCGTGAAGCTACACGCGCTCAGGAGCGCATGTAAACGCACACGCGGGCGTCCTGTTCATCCTGCGAGCCGCGTCTCTCGCTCTCGTCCTCTTCCCGTTTCATTCCCTTCCTCCCCCTCGGCGGTGTACATTCATCTACCTTAATAGCCGTTCGCGTACCGGAAGGTCGGCGGATAATGCTCCATAAATTGCCGGAGATTAATCCGACTTTACGACTGCCCTCTTGTCCGGCATCCCCGTCGATTTAAGCCTCCCTCGGACCAAGAGCGCCAGGTGCAATGTAAGCGAATGTAAGTATCTTGGCTCTGTCCTTCCGGATGATCCGGAGATAATTCCATCCTGAGTGGAATTCCATCATCCGCGAAAGTACAATGTCTAAGAAACTCGACGGACACTCCGTCGAGAAATGCCGGAAAGATTTCGCTTTGATACTATGGGAGCAGCGAAATAAACAACGAAAATAACGAAGAAGCGAACGTGGGGCAGTAAAATACGAAAATTACTGTTACTTATTGTTAGATCGATTTCGTTTTCCCCTATCGAAACGGACACGAAGAACTGGCGGTAATTGAATTGCGTAACGGTTCGTGGTAGTCGTATATAAGAGAAAGAGAGATAGAAAAGAGAATATATCTCTTTATATCGCTTTATAGACCTTTGACAATTTGGGGGAAGCATTCTTATGATTCTTAAAAGATTTTCCTGCGCCGCGCCATGCCACGAGTACAGAAAATTGTCCTAGCTGACGCGGCTGTAACGGTATACGACTCGTTTCTACGCGAATACCATTTGATTCGACGTCAGAGACCCGCTGTATGCAAAGGCAATTTTCTCCATATTCATCGCGATGAACTGTAATAAAGTCTCATTTGAATCGAGTGTACAACGTGAACTCCATTTTACGGCGATTTCATTTTCTGCCAAATAACTGTACTTTGTTTAACTATTTAGAAATCCACAGCCTTAACCATTAAATGAGCAAAAAATGTGCGCTATCGCGCGCGTCGAGTTATATATTGGCCGACTATTAAGTACCGCAGATTGGCAGCGACGTCTCGTGCTTCGCCGCTTCTCTTTTTATTAAATATGGGAGGATCCGCATTCAAGTCTAACGAGAACTCAGCAGTTTTCCTGAGCGATGATGCTTGAATGATTCGATAAGAATTCTAACTGTGAGGAGTCCCGCGAAATTTATTCCCGTATAAATAACTAGTCTACATCGGTAGCACAAAAAAAATTCCTGTGGATAATAATTATCATCTTCGCGAAAGCAATTATCCGAGCGCTGTGTGATGTACCCCGTGCAATGCAACGAGGGCACGGTTTGTAGCACGTCCCTAAACGCGGTATG